TTGTCATCTGTCTGTCTATCTATATCTATCTATAATTTCTATCTATCCATTTGTCATCTATCTATCTATCTATCTATCTACTATCTATTTATCTATCTATCTATATATCCTACGTTTGTCTTTCTGTCTCGGTCCGTCCATCTATCCATCCATCTTTCATCTTTCATCTGTCTATCTGTCTATCTGTCTATCTATCTATCTATCTATCTATCTATCTATCTATCTATCTATCTATCTATCTATCAGCTATCATTTATCTATCATCTATCTATCTCATCTATCATTTATCTGTATCTATCCATTTGTCATCTATCAGCTATCATTTATCTATCTATCATCTCTGTATCATTTGTCTGACTATCTATCCATTTGTCATCTGTCTATCTATATCTATCTATAATCTCTATCTATCCATTTGTCATCTGTCTATCTATCTATCTATCTATCTATCTATCTATCTATCTATCTAATCATTTGTCTGATTATTTATCCATTTGTCACCTGTCTGTCTTTCTATCCATCTATCTATATCTATCATTTCTATCTATTCATTTGTCATCTATCTATCTATCTATCTATCTATCTATCTATCTATCTATCTATCTGTCAGCTATCATTTATCTATCATCTGTATCTCTCATTTATCATTTATCTGTATCTATCCTTTGTCATCTGTCTATCTGTCTGTCTATCTATCTATCTATCTATCTATCTATCTATCAGCTATCATTTATCTATCTATATCTCTATCTCATCTATCATTTGTCTGACTATCTATCCATTTGTCATCTGTCTGTCTGTCTGTCTTTCTGTCTGTCTATCCATCCATCCATCCATCCATCCATCCATCCATCCATCTATCTATCTATCTATCTATGTATCTATCATTTCTATCTATCCATTTGTCCTGTCTGTCTGTCTTCTGTCTGTCTGTTTGTCTATCTATCTATCTATCTATCCTGTCTGAAATGGCATTGGTTTCCATGTTTGAGCAGGGGGCTGGACCAGATGACCTCCGAGTTCCCTTCCAACTCTGGGATTCTGTCTCCTACTCCAGCAGGGGGGTTGGTCTAGATGACCTCGGAGACACCTTCCAGCTCTGTTCCGATTGAAAGGCTGCTGGGAGGAGGTGGGGGGGCGGGGGGGGAGGCGACCCAGCCCGAAGCGGCCCTTGTGCGATTAACAAAGCCGGAAAAAAAATAGCCCGTTTCCTGGGGCTGGTTGGGGGGGGGGGGGGCGGGCAGGGGAGGGGGGCCGTTCGGAGTCTTTGTTCTTTGAGATCACGTGATTTCCAGGCAGCGCCGCCGCCCAGAGACTTTCGCTTTTCTCCGCTACTCAGATCTACCCTTACATGGAGTGAGTGATAAAGTTGAAAGGGAACCCTCGAGGTCATCCAGTCCAACCCCTCGCTCAAGCAGGCGATGGTTAGAGAATTGTAGAATCAGGGAGCTGGAAGGGACCCCGGAGGTCATCCAGTCCAACCCCTCGCTCAAGCAGGCCATCACTAGAATTGTAAAATCAGGCAGCTGGAAGGGACCCCGGAGGTCATCCAGTCCAACCCCTCGCTCAAGCAGGCGATGGTTAGAGAATTGTCGAATCAGGGAGCTGGAAGGGTCCCGGAGGTCATCCAGTCCAACCCCTCGCTCAAGCGGGCGATGGTTAGAGAATCGTAGAATCAGGGAGCTGGAAGGGACCCCGGAGGTCATCCAGTCCAACCCCTCGCTCAAGCAGGCGATCACTAGAATTGTAAAATCAGGGAGCTGGAAGGCTCACTCAAGCAGGCGATCGTTAGAGAATCGTAGAATCAGGGAGCTGGAAGGGACCCCGGAGGTCATCCAGTCCAACCCCTCGCTCAAACAGGCGATCACTAGAATTGTAAAATCAGGGAGCTGGAAGGCTCACTCAAGCAGGCGATCGTTAGAGAATTGTAGAATCAGGCAGCTGGAAGGGACCCCGGAGGTCATCCAGTCCAACCCCTCGCTCAAGCGGGCGATGGTTAGAGAATTGTAGAATCAGGGAGCTGGAAGGGACCCCGGAGGTCATCCAGTCCAACCCCTCGCTCAAGCGGGCGATGGTTAGAGAATTGTAGAATCAGGGAGCTGGAAGGGACCTCGGAGGTCATCCAGTCCAACCCCTCGCTCAAGCAGGCGATGGTCAGAGTATCGTAGAATCAGGCAGCTGGAAGGGACCCTGGAGGTCATCCAGTCCAACCCCTCGCTCAAGCAGGCGATGGTCAGAGAATTGTAGAATCAGGCAGCTGGAAGGGACCCCGGAGGTCATCCAGTCCAACCCCTCGCTCAAGCAGGCGATGGTTAGAGAATTGTAGAATCAGGGAGCTGGAAGGGACCCTGGAGGTCATCCAGTCCAACCCCTCGCTCAAGCAGGCGATCACTAGAATTGTAAAATCAGGGAGCTGGAAGGGACCCTGGAGGTCATCCAGTCCAACCCCTCGCTCAAGCAGGCGATGGTTAGAGAATTGTCGAATCGGGGAGCTGGAAGGGATCCCGGAGGTCATCCAGTCCAACCCCTCGCTCAAGCGGGCGATGGTTAGAGAATTGTAGAATCAGGGAGCTGGAAGGCATCTCGGAGGTCATCTAGTCCAACCCCTCGCTCAAGCCGGGGACCCTAGACAATTCGGGACCAGCGGCTCTTTTCCTGAAAGACCTCGGCTTGATCTCCCGACAGCCTCCCCCCCTCCCCAGTTTCTTCCCTGCGGGCCGGATGCCCCATCTGCGACCCCTCCCCACCTCTCTCGCCCCTTAACTGGAGGACGCCCCCCCCCGCCCCATCCCGGGAAAGAAGCCGCCTCTGAACAGCGGAGGAAAGCGAAAGTCTCTCGGTTGGCTGCCCTGCCTGGAAATCACGTGATCGAAAGGAAAAAAAAAAAGACCCCGAGCCTCCAACAAGAGTTGGAAGGGACCTTAGAGGTCATCTAGTCCAGCCCCCTTCTCGAGCAGGAGACTCTGACAGAATCACAAAATGGTGGAGTTCCTTGGGGGGGGCAGGGTCTCAGTAGGGGAGAGACGGGGGAGCCGTTTCTTCCGGGAAAAAGCATAGGGTCTGCTGCTCGAGCGGGAGGGAGGGCTGGACTAGATGACCTCCGGGGTCCCTTCCCGCTCTTGTTATTCTCTGCTTCTGTTCAGGGTCTCCTGCTCGAACAGGGGGCTGGACTAGATGACCTCCGAGGTCCCTTCCCGCTCTTGTTAGTCTCTGCTTCTCTTCAGGGTCTCCTGCTCGAGCAGGGGGCTGGACTAGATGGCCTCCGAGGCCCCTTCCCGCTCTTGTTATTCTCTGCTTCTGTTCAGGGTCTCCTGCTCGAGCAGGGGGGCTGGACTGGATGACGTCCCGGGTCCCTCCCAGCTCTGTCCTTCCGTGACTCTCTAAGAGTCTCCTGCTCGAGCAGGGGGGGGCTGGACTAGATGATCTCCGAGGCCCCCCCTCCCACTCTGTCACTCTGAAAGGGTACATCTAAACAGCCGAGGACGTCCCTTCTTACTCTCTTATTTTGTAAGGGTCGCCTGCTGGAGCGTGGGGCTGGGCTAGATGACCTCCCAGGTCCCTTCCAGCTGTGCAGTTCTCTAAGGGTCTCCGGCTCGAGCCGGGGGTTGGACTGGATGACCTCCAGGATCCCTTCCAGCTCTGTCACTCCGTGTAAGGGGACCATCCGAATAGCGGAGGAAAGCGAAAGTCTCCGGGCGGCGGCGCTGCCTGGAAATCACGTGATCGAAAGGAAAACGAGACCCAGAATGCCCCACTCCCCCTCCCGCCCCCCCCCCCAACCAGCCCCAGGAAACGGGCTAGATTTTCTTCGTGTTGATTAATCGCACAAGGGCCGCTTCCGGCTGGGTCGCCTCCCCCCCTTCTCCCCTTTCCCCCCCCCGCCTCCTCCCAGCAGCCTTTCCATCCGAACAGGGCAGGAAGGGAACCTCGGAGGTCATCTAGTCCAGCCCCGTGCTCCAGCAGGAGACCCTTAGAGAATGACAGAGCTGGAAGGGACCTGGGAGGTCATCTAGTCCAGCCCCCTGCTCAGGCAGGACACGCGTACAGAATCATCGAAGGGCAGAGTTGGAAGAGGCCTTGGAGGTCATCTAGTCCAACCCACCCACTCCCACCCCCCACCCCCGCTCAAGCAGGAGAGCCTGACAGAAGCACAGAGCTGGAAGGGAACCTCGGAGGTCATCTAGTCCAGCCCCGTGCTCCAGCAGGCGACCCTTAAGAGAATGACAGAGCTGGAAGGGACCTGGGAGGTCATCTAGTCCAGCCCCCTGCTCAGGCAGGACACCCTTACAGAATCATCGAAGAGCAGAGTTGGAAGAGACTCTGGGAGGCCATCTAGTCCCCAACCCCCCCAACCCCCACCCCCGCTCAAGCAGGAGACCTGACAGAAGCACAGAGCTGGAAGGGGTCTCGGAGGTCATCTAGTCCAACCCCCCCCCCTGCTCGAGCAGGAGACCCTGACAGAATCGTGGAAGGACAAGAGTGGGAAGGGACCCTAGAGGTCCTCTAGCCCAACCCCCTGCTCCAGCAGGAGACCGTGACAGAGTCTCCTGCTGGAGCACGGGGGGGGGGGCTGGACGAGAAGACCTGCGAGGTCCCTTCCAGCTTTGGGATTCTGTCACTCTGTTAGGGTCTCCTGCTGGAGCAGGGGGGGTCTGGACTAGATGACCTCCGAGGCCCCTTCCGACTCTGGGATTCTGTCAGGCTCTCCTGCTTGAGCGGGGGTGGGTGGGCTGGACTAGATGACCTCCAGGGTCCCTTCCGGCTCTTTTCTGAGGGAAGACCAAGACTTGGTTCTGTCAGGGGGCCCCCCCGGAAGGGCTAGGAAGACCCCCGGCTCACAGACACAGTCACACACACACAAACACACACACACACACACACACCCCGTTTCAGCAAGAAGAAATTCACTCTCGCAGCCAATCGGGGGAGAGGTGGGTGGACGAGACCCCGCCCCCTCCCCTTCTTGCCCCGCCCACCTCTGGCTAATGAAGGGCGATCCCCCCCGGCAGAAGCGAAAGCAGCCCGCAGCCCGTCGGGGGAAGCAGTCGAGAGGCAGCAGCGACCCCCTCTTCATCCATCTGGAGACTTGCTCAGGTTGCTCTCCGACAGGTCGAGCCGGGTAGAAAGCGGGGGGGGGAGGAGGGAGGGAGGGGGCAGTCGCGTCCCCCCCCCTTTCCAGCAGGCAGGAGGCGCAGGGGGAGTGTGTGTATGGGGGGGGTCCCTGGGTCCCCCCCTTCTCCCCCCGCCCTCCCCAGTCAGGGAGTGAACGGGGGGGGAGGAGAGAACGGGGAGGACGGGCACTTTTCAAGTAAGTTGGAGGACTTCGGGGTCCAGCAGGGCGAAGGGCGGTGGGGGGGGTGGCTTTGAGGGAGGGAGGGGGGCGAGGGGGCTTCAGCTGCCCTCCCCAATCGGGAAAACCTTTCCTAACGCCCCCACCCCCTCAAAAAAAAAACCTCCGGGAGACGAGCTTCTGTCCGTCTTCCCCCCCTCCCGAACTCCCCCCCCAGAAGAGACTGGACTGCCGTGTGTCAGAAATGGTGTAGGGACTGCTGTTTGGGCAAGGGGTTGGGCTAGATGACCTCCAAGGTACTTTTCATCCCATTCCATTCCATTGTATTGTATTGTATTCCTTTCCTCTCCTTTCCCTTTCCTTCCTTTCCCTTCCCATTCCATCCCATTATTTGTTTTCTATTCCATTGCATCCTATTCCATTCCATTCCATGCTTTTGTGTTGTATTCCTTTCCATTCCATTCCTTTCCTTTCCTTTCCTCCTTCCCTTCCCCTCCCCTCCTATCCCATCCCATCCCCTCATCTGTTTTCTATTCCATTCCATTCTATTCTGTATTTCTATTCTATTCTATATTTCTATTCTATTCCATATTCCATATTCTAGTCTAGTCTAGTCTATAGTCTGGTCTGTATTTTTATTCTAATTCTATTCTATTCTCCATTTTATTATTCTATTCTATTCTATTCTATTCTATTCTATTCTATTCTATTCTATTCTATTCTATTCTATTCTATTCTATTCTATTCTATTCCATTCCATATTTTCTATTCTATTCTATTCTATTCTATTCTGCATTCCATTCCATTGTATTGTATTGTATTCCTTTCCATTCCTTTCCTTTCCTTTCTTCCTTCCCTTCCCTTCCCTTCCCTTCCCACCCCATCCCATCTAGTCCAACCCCCTGCTCCAGCAGGAGACCAGCAGGGGGAGTGTATGGGGGGGTCCCTGGGGGCCCCCTCCCCCTGTCCTGCCCAGTCAGTGATTCGATGAGGAGAGAACGGGGGTCCACTTTTCCAGAAAGTTGGAGGACTTGAGGTCCAGCAGGGCGGAGGGCAGTGGGGGGGATTGAGGGGGGGGACGCGAGGGGCTTCAGCTGCCCTCCCCAATCAGGAAGACCTTTCCTAACAGCCCCCATCCCCAAAGAAAACCTCCAGGAGACGAGCTTCTGTCTCTCTCCCCCCCCCCGCGAACCTCCCAGAAGAGACTGGACTGCTGTGTGTCAGAAATGGTGTAGGGGGGTTGACTAGATGACCTCCCAGGTCCTTTTCAACCTATCCTATCCCATTATTCTATTCTATTCTTAATTCTATTCTGTTCTGTTCCATTCCTTATTCTGTTCCATGTTCTATTCTATTCTATTCTAATTCTTATTCTTATTCTATATTATTCTATTCTATTCTCTCCTCCTGTCCTCTCCTATTCCTTTCCTTTCCTTATTCTATTCTATTCCATTCCATTCCATTCCATATTTTCTATTCTATTTTCTATTCTATTCTATTTTCTTTTCTATTCTATTCTATTTTCTATTCTATTCTATTATATTTCTATTCTATTCTATTTTCTATTCTATTCTATTTTCTATTCTATTCTATTTTCTATTCTATTCTATTTTCTATTCTATTCTATTCTATTTTCTATTCTATTTAGTTTCTTTCTATTCTATTTTCGACTCTATTCTATTTTCGACTCTATTCTATTCTATTCTATTTTCCTTTATTATTCTATTCTATTTTCTATTCTATTCTTTTCTATTCTCCATTTTCTATCTATTCTATTCTATTCTATTCTCTATTCTATTTCTATTCTATTCTCTATTTTCTATTATCTATCTATTCTATTTTCTATTCTATTCTATTTTCTATTCTATTCTATTTTCTATTCTATTCTATTTTCTATTCTATTCTATTTTCTATTCTATTCTATTTTCGACTCTATTCTATTTTCGACTCTATTCTATTTTCGACTCTATTCTATTTTCTATTCTATTCTATTTTCTATTCTATTCTATTTTCGACTCTATTCTATTTTCGACTCTATTCTATTTTCGACTCTATTCTATTCTATTCTATTTTCTATTCTATTTTCTATTCTATTTTCTATTCTATTCTATTTTCTATTCTATTCTATTCTATTCTATTTTCTATTCTATTCTATTCTATTCTATTTTCTATCCTATTCTATTCTATTCTACGTTCTCCATTCCATATTCCATTCCATATCCTATCCTATCCTATCCTATCCTATCCTATCCTATTCTATTCTATTCTATTCTATATTCTATTCTAAATTTCTATATTCTATTCTCAGGGGCGCCTCCCCCATTTTCTCTCTCCTCCCCCACAGTTGGGCCCAGGCAATCCCTCTGCAACCGTCAGCAGGAATGACCTACTACCCGTCCACTAAGGAGACCCTCTGGGTAGGTTTGGGGAGGGCTCCTGAAGAGGGAGGGGCTTTGGGAAAGGGGAGACCCTCTGCTCCATTGCGGGGCAGAATTTGAAGCCTGGACCAGCCTCCAGCCCCGTCCCCCCCCAGCCCCCCATCGTGCTGCAGTCCAGTCCTGTCCCCTCCTTGTAATAATGGGGTGAGCGTGGCTCGGGTGCTAAAGCATGCCACGACCCCCAGTCGTAAGTCGAGGACTACACAACCGGTCGTAAGTCGAGGACTACTCAACTGGTGCAGCGCCGTTTGAAGAATGGGGCTTTTGGCGGGCTCAGCAGGGCAGAGACAGCCTGGACCATTCCGATTGGCTTTGGAAAGCCAAGAGAATTAGACTCTGTTCAAGAGAGTCTCTTCTATTGGCTTTCCAAAGCCAATAGAAGAAAAGGGAGGAGAACAGCTAAGGAAAAGGAGGGAAAAAAATGGCGGACTGCGTTGTTTGGCGACCCCCGTGAAATGGTCGTTCAACCCCAAATAGGGTCCCGCCCCACAGGTGGAGAACCGCTGATATAGACAGACAGACATAAATTAGATGGTAGAGATAGTTTGATAGAGATAGAAACGATAAATGATAGAAATAGATAAATGATAGATAGATAATAGATAATTATGTGATAGAGTTAGATAGAGATTAGATAGATAGATAGATAGATAGATAGATAGATAGATAGATAGATTAGATGGTAGAGATAGATGGATAAAGATAGATAATAGTTTGATAGATAGAAATGATAAATGATAGAAATAGATAAATAGATAAATTAGGTGATAGAGATAGATAGATAGATAGATAGATAGATAGATAGATAGATAGATAGATAGATAGATAGAGGTTAGATAGATAGATAGATAGATAGGTATAAATTAGGTTAGACAGACAGACAGACAGAGATAGATTAGATAGATAGATAGATAGATAGATAGATAGATAGATACGAGATAAATTAGGTGATAGTTAAAGAGAGAGATAAATAGATATAGACAGACATAAATTAGATGGTAGAGATAGTTTGATAGAGATAGAAATGATAAATGATTGAAATAGATAAATGATAGATGGATAATAGAGAAATAGATAAGATAGATAGATAGATAGATAGATAGATAGATAGATAGATAGATAGATAAGATGGTAGAGATAGATGGATAGAGATAGATAATAGTTTGATAGATAGTAATGATAAATGATAGAAATAGATAAATAGATAAATTAGGTGATAGATAGATAGATAGATAGATAGATAGATAGATAGATAGATAGATAGATAGATAGATAGAGGTTAGATAGCTAGATAGATAGATATAAATTAGGTTAGACAGACAGACAGACAGACAGACAGACATAGATTAGATAGATAGATAGATAGATAGATAGAGATAAATTAGGTGATAGTTAAAGAGAGAAAGATAAATAGATATAGATGATATAGACAGACAGACATAAGTTAGATGGTAGAGATAGTTTGATAGAGATAGAAATGATAAATGATCGAAATAGAGAAATGATAGATGGATAATAGATAGAGAAATTAGGTGATAAAGTTAGATAAAGGATAGAGAGAGAGAGATAATAGTTTGATAGAGATAGAAATGATAGATAGATAGATAGATAGATAGATAGATAGATAGATAGATAATAGAGAAATAAGGAAATTAGGTGATAGTTAGATATAGATAGATAGAGCATCTCAGCCCCTACTTAGCTGGGGAGGGGGGTGGGGCTCCAGAGCAGTTTGGGGGCGGTGCCTTGAATAGGATGGGGGGGGGAAGCTGGCTGACTGTCTCTGCCCCACCGGAAACGCCGAGGCCTCCGGGTGGCGAGAACCACTTCTGACGTCCTTGTCTCCTTTCCACTCTTCCAGGCGCCGACGGATGACGAGGCCGCGTCGGGTAAGCGAGGAGGCCAGGGCTGGCGTTTGCGGGGTGGGAGGGGGGGGGCTGAAGAGCAAGACAGAGGATGAGGGGGCTGGGGGCTGAAACCTCGGAGGAACGGGGGGGGGCAGGAATTGGGGTTTGGCCAGTCTGGAGGAAGGAAGGACCGGAAGGGGGGGGACACACGATAGCAGGGTTCCGGTATTTGGCCGGGGGGGGGGCTGCCACAAACAGCACTCCTCCTCACTAGCCCCGATGACGTTCCCTAGTTGGGTCAGGAAACGTCTGCAAGAAATCCATCAAGCTCAGAGAGCGCCACAGTTGTCCTCCTCTCCTCTCCCCCCTCCTCTCCATAACTCCCCCCTTCCTTCTAGAGCTGATGACGTTCCCTAGTTGGGTCATGAAATGTCTGCAAGAAATCCATCAAGCTCAGAGAGCACCAAGGACCCCACAGTCCGTCCTTCCTTCCTTCCTTCCTTCCTTCCTTCCTTCCTTCCTTCCAGCACTGATGATGTTCCCTAGTTGGGTCATGAAATGTCTGCAAGGAAAAACCACCCAGTTCAGAGAGCACAGGGACCCCACTTCCCCTCCCTCCCTCCTCCCTCCCTCCATCCCTCCCTCCCTCCTTCCTTCCTTCCCTTCCTTCCTTCCTTCCTTCCTTCCTTTCCTTCCAGCATGATGATGTTCCTAGTTGGGTCATGAAATGTCTGCAAGGAAAACCACCCAGTTCAGAGAGCACCAGGGACCCCACTTCCCTCCCTCCCTCCCTCCCTCCCTCCCTCCCTCCCTCCCTCCCTCCTTCCTTCCTTCCTTCCTTCCTTCCTTCCTTCCTTCCTTCCTTCCAGCACTGATGATGTTCCCTAGTTGGGTCATGAAATGTCTGCAAGGAAAACCACCCAGCTCAGACAGCACCAAGGACCTCCCCAGTTCTTCCTCTTCTTCTCTCCTCCTCTCCATAACTCCCCCCTCCCTCCTAGCACTGATGACGTTCCCTAATTGGGCCATGAAATGTCAACACCAGCGGTTCTCAACCTGTGGGTCGGGACCCCATTTGGGGTCGAACGACCATTTCACGGGGGTCGCCAAACAACGCAGTCCGCCATTTCCCCCCCCCCTTTTCCTTAGCTGGGCTCCTCCCTTTTATTCTATTGGCTTTTGAAAGCCAATCGAATAGACTCTCTTGAATAGGGTCTAATTCTATTGGCTGTCAAAAGCCAACAGGAATGGTCCAGGCTGTCTCTGCCCTGCTGAGCCCGCCAAAAGTCCCATTCTGCAAACAGTGCTGCGCCAGTTGAGCAGTCCTCGACTTACGACCGGTTGGGGGGTCGCGGCATTAAAAAGGTTGAGAACCACTGGTCTACAGGAAGACCACCAAGCTCAGAGAGCACAAAGGTGCCCCCTCCTCCTCCCCCTCTCCTTCCTCTCCTCCTCCTCCTCCTCCTTCAACTGATGATGTACTCTAGTTGGTTCCTGAAACGTCTGCAAGGAAACCACCCAGCTCAGAGAGCACCAGGGACCCCACAGTCCCTTCCTTCCTTCCTCCCTCCCTCCCTCTCTCCCTTCCTTCCTTCCTGCCCTGATGGTGTTGCCTAGTTGGGTCATGAGACGTCTGCAAAGAAACCACCCAGCTCGGAGAGCACCAGGGACCCCATATCATTATTCCTCCTCCTCCTCTTCCTCCTCCTCCCCCCCCCTATCCTAATCTTGAAGCAGACTAGGAGGTGTTGCCTGAAATATAGAATCAAAAACAAGCCAAGGATCAGTCTGGATGACACACAAACACACACACACACACACACACACACACACACACACACACAAACAAACACAGACCCGGCTTCTATCCAGTTCCAGTTTCCCTGATGGATGCTCCTCGTCGTCCCGCGGAGGGAGAATGGGAAGACGTGACGATGGACGTTACGGCAGCTGGGAGACCAGGTAATTCGTCTCCTCTCCTTGACGTAAGAGAGACCCCCAAACCTTGGGGCACCGGGGAGCAGGTTCCGTGGAGAAGGGTTTTTCCGTGGACTGTGTGTGTGTGTGTGTGTGTGTGTGTGTGTATTTGTACACCTTGCTTATTTGCGCGGCCCGGTTGCCGGCATGCTGTGGACGTATGGCGGTCCATGGACCGGAGGTTTATTTATTTATTTTATGAGACTTATATACCGCTTTAAGTGCGAGCACTCTCTAAGCGGTGTACACCAGTAAGCAATGTATATATATATATATTTACATTGCCCCCAACAATCTGGGTCCTCATTTTACCTACCCCGGAAGGATGGAAGGCTGAGTCAAGTTAAGATGGGACCCCCATCTTAACAGCTGTTTTAAATTATAGTGGAACACTTCCCCCCCCCCAAAAAAAAGTTACTTATGACCTGATTCTGTAGCATCCCAATGGTCATTTGCACTTGGGACCGACCCCAGGACACTGCAGGACCTTCCCCACCCACCCATGCTACCCGTCCCAACACCTGGTCTCCAACAGGTTCCCGCTGGTTTTTCCCCCTTCCACACCAGGTCCCCATAAAAGTTTCCCTCTGGCTGTAATCGGATTCTCACACACACACACACACCCCAGGCTCATGCCTTCCGCCTCCCTGAGCAATTGGGTATAGGGTGTCCTGCCTGAGCAGGGGGTTGGACTAGATGACCTCCGAGGCCCCTTTCCACTCTGTCATACTATGATCCTGTAAGGCTCTCCTGCTCGAGCAGGGAGTTGGACTAGATGACCTCGAAGGCCCCTTTCCACTCTGTTAATTCTATGATCCTGTAAGGGTCTCCTGCTCGAGCAGGGGGTTGGACTAGATGACCTCTGAGTTCCCTTCCAACTCTGTGATTCTTTATTCTGTGATGACCTGTTAAGATATTGAATGTAGTGGCTGGAACAGTAACGGGAATGTACAGCTGTAGTTGATTAGTTGGAGACGGCTGGCTCTTGCATGAGGCGATCTGCGCTGTGATTGGTTGCCCCAAGGGTAAAGGAGGCGTCTCCCTTTCTTCCCGCCTTTTTTCTCCTCTGTGTTCTGCCTGCTGTTTAATTTACCTCAGGATGTTCCTGTGTTCCTGACTGTCTTGTCTGTTCCTGCATGAGGCGATCTGTACTGTGATTGGTTGCCCCAAGGGTAAAGGAGGCATCTCCCTTTCTTCCCGCCTTTTTTCTCCTCTGTGTTCTGCCTGCTTTTTCATTTACCTCAGGATATTCTGTGTTCCTGTTTTGTCTGCTCATCCAGGAGGTGATCTGCGCTGTGATTGGTTGCCCCAAGAGTAAAGGGGGTGTCTCTCTTTCCCCCCCGCCTTTTTTCTCCTCTGTCTTCTGCCTGCTGTTTCATTTACCTCAGGATATTCCTGTGTTCCTGACTGTCTTGTCTGCTCCTGCATGAGGCGATCTGTGCTGTGATTGGTTGCCCCAAGGGTAAAGGAGGCGTCTCCCTTTCTTCCCGCCTTTTTTCTCCTCTGTGTTCTGCCTGCTGTTTCATTTACCTCAGGATATTCCTGTGTTCCTGACTGTCTTGTCTGCTCCTGCATGAGGCGATCTGTGCTGTGATTGGTTGCCCCAAGGGTAAAGGAGGCGTCTCCCTTTCTTCCCGCCTTTTTTCTCCTCTGTGTTCTGCCTGGTGTTTAATTTACCTCAGGATGTTCCTGTGTTCTTGACTGTCTTGTCTGTTGTGAATATGAATGTAAAATTTATTATGATTAATAATAATAATAATATAATGTTGGAAGGGACCTTGGAGGTCATCTAGTCCAACCCCCTGCTCAGGCCGGAAACCCTATACCATTTCAGACAAATGGCTGTCCAGTCTCTTCTTCAAAACTTCCAGTGTTGGAGCATTCACCGCTTCTGGAGGCAGCTAGTTCCACTGGTTAATTGTTCTCACTGTCAGGAAGTTTCTCCTTAGTTCTAGGTTGCTTCTCTCCTTGGTTAGTTTCTACCTTAGTTGCTTCTTGTCCTGCCTTCAGGCGCTTTGGAGAAGAGCTTGACTCCCCCACAAAGAAGAGGGAGACAAGCTATTCTCCAAAGCACCTGAGGGCAGGACAAGAAGCAATGGATATATTTATTTATACAGAAATGCAGCCCCTCCCCTCCCGCCTCCCCCCTGCACATGGTCCTTCTCTGCATTGGGGATCTCACATGAAAAGAGAAACGGTGATCAGCTCTTGACAGCCTGCATATAAGTCCTCCTTTGCTGACTGCCTCGTTTAGTGATCGAAATTAAAAACAGTCAGGGGAAAAAAGACACACAATATCTTTTTGGAGCAGCGCTCACATTTATGGGCCTCACAGCATCCCACAGTCAGATGATTATCCTTCAGGTCTTCCCAACCAGCACAGCCATTGCACCCTCCCAGGGTGATGTGATCGCCCTTTGCAAGCTTTCCGACTAGGTTCCCAGAAGTGGAATCGACCGAGGACGAGATCTGGTGTCCTGTGGTGTCTCAGTTAACGACCTTGGTAATTCCCTTCGCAATTGGACCAGAAGCGAAAAACCGTGGTCATGTGGCTTTTCGCTTGGTGGCCATGGCACTTAGTGATAGAGTTGCCAGTCCCGGTTGCAGGTGGTAAACTTTGATCAGCATATCCAATCCTGTTGGGTGGCATCTGGCGTAGTCACCCAGCGGTCTTACACCCGGGCCCGGGGCCATCGTCATGCAGCACACACCAGCAGCCCTGAGCCTCCTCACAGCTCAGTCACAGTTAGCTTGGCTCCGGCTTTGCTCGTGGGGACTGGACACAGTGGCTGTTTTCGGACATCTGCTAAAGTGGGGTTCACACATTGTGTGAATCTGCACGGCTGAGCAGCCCATTGTAGCCACTCTGGGGGAGTGATATGAAAACATCCCTGAACTACTGCAGCTCAGGGGTGACTCTTTTCCAAAAGTTGCCCCCATTTCCAGCCTGCTCAATGATGCCCCGACATGTGAGAAATATCTGGATTCCTCGTTGTAACATTGTCTTCCAAACTCACAGAGGAGGACGACGAACTCCGGCTGATCCTGGTCGGAAGGTCCGGAGGTGGGAAGAGCGCCACAGGCAACACCATCCTCGGCCGGAGGGAATTTGAGTCCGTCTTGTCAGCAAAGACCATCACCTTGAAATGCCAAAGGGGGCAGAGAATCTGGAATGGCAAAAAGGTCTCCGTGATCGACACGCCTGCCCTTTTCGGTCCTGAAGACTACACCGAGTTTGTGCGACGCGAGATCAAGGCTTGCGTCGAACTCTCCCAGCCTGGCCTCCACGCCCTGATCTTGGTGACCCAGCTGGGGCGCTTCACCGTTGAAGATGTAACAGCTGCAAAGCGTGTCTGGCAGATCTTTGGGGCCGAATCCGCCAGGCACACGATCGTCCTCTTCACCTGCCTGGAGGATTTGGGCGGGGACCCCCTGCAGGAGTACGTCCAAAAGTCCACGAATGAGGCACTGCGGGAGCTCATCTGGCAGTGTGGGGACCGCTTCTGTGGCTTCAACAACAAGGCCGTGGGAGCCGTGCGGGAGAGGCAGGTCTCGGAGCTGATGGAGATGGTGCAGAGAGTCGTTTCGGAGAACAGGGGGAGACACTACGTCATCCCGCTGCGTGAGGTGCCCGAGGTACCGGAACCAGCACGTCGTAGAGCAGAATCAAAAGTGGGCAAAGGCGGTGCTCTTTTGGGGCATCTAGTGGAGTTGCTCCATTTACACGAGAGGAAGGGATCCCTCCTCTCTTGGAGACGCCAATGGGTGGGTAGGGCATCTGAGACCCTCATATGAGGGGAGGCAGTCGAGGGGGGAGGGGAGAGGAGGGAGGCTAACGGGTGGAGATCCGTAGCCGAGATCCTAATGGTAGGAATCGGACAGCTGAATCGCTCAGGATCTGAGCAAAGGAAGGCAGAGGACGGAGGGCGAGAGAAAGGGAGGGCGGCGTAGTTACAAGCGTGGCACAGAACCACCTCTGTTGTTGCAGGGAGGGGGACGTTCTAGGTAATTTGGGGAGGGGCTCCTTCCTTTTCTAAAGTTTCAGTTGGGTTCTGTCCAGGCAGCCAAACAAGGGGGGGCTGGAATGGCGGGGGGAGGGGGGCAAGAACCTCTTCCAACCCCTCTCCCCCCAAATCCCATCTCCCCCGTTGACTGACTTATCAGACGGTCGCCGAAGGGAATCGTGTGGGCCACCGCGACCGTCGTAAGTACGAGTTGTTTGTCAATCATATCCCAATACAAATCACGTGACTCCCGGGGAGGCTGCCACGGTCGTCGGTGTGAAAAAACAAAAACAACGGTCATTATTTTTTCCAGTGCTGTCGTAACGTTGATCGCTAAACGAACCGTTGTAACTCGAAAACTACCCGTACGCACAATGTAATCAGTGTACTGGGGTTGGAGAGGGGAACACTCCTGGAAAAGGGGGCCCAGGAAAGAGGTCCAGGAAGGGGATCCAGGAAGGGGTGTGAACTGTCTACCAGGGCAGCTCACTGATGTATCAGTCAGTTTCCAGCGTCCTCCAGATGGTTCCGGATCAGGATGACTGCCTCAGCAGCAGCGGCGAAGGAGGGGGTAACCCTCTTTTAACCCCATCCCTGCAATTCCTGCCTGTGTCTTCTGGGGGGGGGAGTTCCCTGCAACCTCTAAGCATGGTAAGTCCTTTAGCTGATTCCGTTTCGCTTTTCGTACAGAAACCCCCAGATTCGGCCTGTGCCAATCGTCCGGAAATGGCTGGAAGCATGCGAGCTAAAACCATTAGCCCCTGGGTGGGTGCGTGGGGCTCGCTGTCCTGGGTGGACACTCCTGGGTCCCACTCCCAAGAGTATAACTTTACTGAAGATTCCACGGGGCTGCAGAAGGAGAAAAGCAAGAGGAGAAAAGCCGGTAATTTTATGCGAAAACAGCACGGGAAATCTTTCCCTTCCTCCCCCCCCCCCCCTCAGACCTCCCACTCTCCGTGCTCCGCCAATCGTTGGCATTCCCTTTGTTTCGGCAACAATCTGACAACCTTGGATTTTCCCAGCCAAATGACCACCTTGTCGTGTTGGGTCTGTCTCGGGCTTTTAGCCGGCCGACTTGCCTTCTTCATTGCCCTCCCTCCCGTTCCAGTCGTTTGATTGCGCGCGAAGCTGCGTTGCGAGACAATCACGACAGCCCGTACGCTGACTGACCGGTTCCCCTTTGTGTCTCCTCTCCTCCTTTTTGGGGTTGTAGGGCCTGAACGGCGGATCGTCCTCGTGGGCAAGACCGGAAGTGGGAAAAGCGCGACGGGAAACACCATCCTGGGAAGCCAAGTCTTTGGGGTGTCACCCAGGTCAGATACAAAACGTTGCCAAAAGGAGGAGACGCTGTGGAACGGCAGGAGGATTGTGGTGGTCGATACGCCTGGCTTCCTCGACACCGGGCATCCGAAGCCGGAAAACGCTGCTGAAGTGAGCAAGTGTGTGAAGTTATGCTCCCCGGGTCCCCACGTTATTCTCTGGGTCATGCGCCCTGACCGTTTCTCCCGGGAAGAGGAAGACGCGGCTCGGATGATCAAAGAGATTTTCAGCGAGGAAGGCAGGAATTATATGATCGTCCTGTTTACCCAGAAAGATAAGCTGGAAGGTCATTCTCTTGAAAATTTCACGTCTTTCCAAGATCAGAAGAAATATCTTGCTGAATGTGAGAACCGCTACTTGGCTTTCAACAACACGGCCGAAGGAGAAGAACGGGAGGTTCAAGTGGCCGAGCTGATGAAGATGATTGACCGGCTCGTATTTGAGAACGGAGACGCTCTTTATTACACGGAGGACATGCTGACGAAAGATATCGAGAACTTCAGAATAATCCGTGCCTCCTCGTTTTGTCCTATTATCTAACACAGGTCTTTCCCCACCTTTTCGCAGATTGTACCACCTTTAGGACATGACGATATTCGCGTACCACCAGTGGCTTAGCAACGTGTCAAAAACTTGATGAGCAAAAAAAAACAAAGACCCGGGGAAAAGTGATCAACGTACACCCACTTACCACACTTTCGGCGGGAAACTTGTGCCTGTTTCGCTGACGTTAAACCGAAGACGGTTCCTTTCCTTAATTTTTACACACCTTAATGAAGGAAACGCCTTTTTGCACGAGTACGTGGAACCAAATGACTGCAACGCTACGACAGCTTTCCCTCCCCCTCCCGTTTCCGGCTACACAGTTTTGCAACTTGGCTCCGGAACTCGGTCAGTGTTGTTGTTGTTGTTGTTTTCATGAAAAAGTTCCTTCAAATTTGCGGTGGGATGGGTCAAATTCCCAGACGTGCTTCTTGCTCTGGAGAGGGAAGGTCGGCGTTCGCAACCTGGCCCACCACGGCCACCTTGACGCGAACGGAAAACGCCAAGGCAAACTCGCCGCGCAGTTTTCCCCAAGGGATTTTGGGACGGCCGTTTCAAGGTCTTCGGCGTCAATGCTGCTAACGTCGGGCGTTTTGGCTTTGACAGCAGATGGAAGATGCCGCCATTTTCTTGTTTTCGCTTTTAGAGTTAGATGATGCTGTGGAGGAGGGGGGATGTGCATGAGAGTTCAGCTAGACATAATAATACTGAGAATCAAGGTTGTTGAAAAAAGAGATGATAAGAATTGGCGGGCTGGGAGAGCTGGGGAATGTGATTTATGACTGTTAATTGCTTTGATACTATGTGCTGGGGTGGGGGGAATTCAGTTTTTGGCTTTGACTACGTTAGTGCCAATGCTATGCTTCTTGAATAAATAATTCTTTAAGGTAAATAATGCCTCAAAGTTGTTTTTTTTTTTGAAGAGTTTCATCTGTCGGAACCATGACATTCAGTGCCAATAACGGAATTGAGTTCAATAAAGTCGGACCCAATTGGGAAACGATGCAATGTTTACTTGACCCATCCCAGTGGTGGCGAACCTATGACACGTGTGCCAGAGGCGGCACTCAGAGCCCTCTCTGTGGGCACGCACGCACGCCGTCGCCCCAGCCCCGCCTCCCTCCACAGCCCCCTCCTCACCAGTAGCCCCCCAGAGAAGAGTTACCCCTACGTACGGCCCACGCGGAGCAGCGCAGCCAAGAACATGGCAGCCGGGCAGCGGGACAAGACTCCGCCCTCACGCCGTCGCGCTCAGATGATGCTGCTGGGCTGCGTAGGCGATCTGCGGTGGGCCGTGGAAGTGGTAGGTGGCCCTGTGGACAGGCGAGGCAGGAGTGGGTGTGGGGGGGGGCAGGAGAATAGGGCAGGGGGCGGGTTTTGGGCACTTGATCTCTAAAAGATTCACCATCACTGGCCTATCCACAGGGAAATTTTCTTGCAGAAGGCACAAACTTTGTCTTCCATGATAAACACGTTAACGACCAGGTGGACCTGCAGCAACCGATTTTAAGTTCCTTTAGCTTTTTAAATATGTCGGCCAAAGAGGCAAGGCAGGACATCCAGAAGACATTTTCAAGCTTTTCTGCTAGGGGTGATGAAACATTTGTCAGGAACAGGTGTGTTTTTCATCTCGTAGCTCAGATAATCTCAATCGTGTTTCACCTCTCGGCAACCGACATACTTCGGTATGAAAGAGAGGAGTGCTGGGCTCAGAATCCAAATCTTTGCATAATTGTCGGAATAAATGTCCGTTCAGTGACCGCAGGACTTTGGTGAAATTTCCGAATCAGGAAGATGCACAAAGACAATTAATTGCGCTTCACCAGCGATGTCACTTGCTCTTCCCCTGAAAACAGGCCACTCGCTCTTCGTCACAAAACAGGCCACTTGCTCTTCCACCAAAAACAGCCCACTCGCTCTTATACTGAAAACAGGCTGCTCGCTCTTCCTCCAAAAACAGGCCACTCGCTCACTCTTATCCTCTGAAAACAGGTTGCTTGCTCACTTGCTTCCCCCCCCCAAATAGGCCACTCGCTGTCATCCTTCCCCTGAAAACAGGCTACTCACTCGCTCTCACTCACCCTCTGAAAACAGGCCGCTCACCCTTCCCCCCCAAAAAAGCCAGTCACTTGCTCTTACTCGCCCTTCCCCCCAAAACAGGCCACTCGCTTGCTCTCACTCACCCTCCGAAAACAGGCCGCTCGCTGGCTTGCCCTCCCCCCCAAAACAAGCCACTCATTCACTCTCACCCTTCCTCTGAAAACAGGCCACTCGGTTGCTCGCTCTTCCCCTGAAAATAAGCCACTCACACAAGCGCTCTTCTCCCAAAAACAGGCCACTCGCTCGCTCTCACTCATCTTTCCTCAAAAAACAGGCCACTTGCTCACCTCTTCCCCTGAAAATAAGCCACTCACACAAGCGCTCTTCTCCCGAAAACAGGCCACTCGCTCGCTCTCACTCATCTTTCCTCAAAAAACAGGCCACTTGCTCACCCTTCCCCTCAAAACAGGCCACTCGCTCACTCTTTCTCTGAAAATAGCCACTTACACACTCGCTCTTCTCCCCAAAACAGGCCTTCACTCGCTCTCACTCACCTTTCCTCCGAAAACAGGCCACTCGCTCTTCCCCAAAACAAGCCAGTCACTCGCTCTCCTCACCCTTCCTCCGAAAACAGACAACTCACTTGCTCATTCTTCCCCTGAAAATAGGCCACTCACACATGCGCTCCTCTCCCGAAAACAGGCCACTCGCTTGCTCTCACTCATTCTTCCTCAAAAAACAGGCCACTTGCTCACCCTTCCCCCAAAACAGGCCGCTCGCTCGCTCACTCTTTCCCTGAAAATAGGCCACTCACACACTCACTCTTCTCCTGAAAACAGGACACTCGCTCACTCACTCACCCTTCCTCTGAAAACAGGCCACTCACCTGCTCACTCTTCCCCCAAAAGCAGGCCATTCACACACTCGCTCTTCTCCCGAAAACAGGCCACACGCTCGCTCAATCTCACTCACCCTTTCCCCCAAAACAGCCCGCTCACTTGCTCGCTCTTCCTCTGAAAACAGACCGCTCGCTCTCACTCACCCTTCCTCCGAAAACAGGCCACTCGCTTGCTCGCTTTTTCCCCGAAAATAGGCCACTCACACACTCGTTCTTCTCCCGAAAACAGGCTACTCGCTCGCTCAATCTCACTCACCCTTCCCCCCAAAACAGCCCGCTCACTTGCTCGCTCTTCCTCTGAAAACAGACCGCTCGCTCGCTCTCACTCACCCTCCGAAAACAGGCCGCTCGCTCACTCGCTCTTCCCCCGAAAATAGGCCACTCACACTTTCGCTCTTCTCTCAAAAACAGGCCATTCGCTCACTCTCACTCACCCTTCCTCCGAAAACAGGCCGCTCGCTCATCCTTCCCTAAAAACAGGCCACTCGCTCGCTCATCCTTCCTCCTCAAACAGGCCGCTCACTCACTCGCCCTTGTTCCATCAACAGGCCGCTCACTCTTCCCCCGAAAACAGGCCGCTCGCTCCGTCACTCCTCACTGCTTTGCTAAGAAAAGCCTCTTATCGCGTTTTATCTCCCGCCGAAACCTGCCCCTTTTATCACTTCTCTCTGCCTTCCTCCTCCTCCTTTTCTGAGCGCTCCGGAAGCTCCAGTTACCACGTCGCCATGTGTGCCGAGCCTGAGGCTTCTGCCAAGCTCTGCAGCTCCAGCTGATCTCTAGGTCTGTGCTGCGCCGCTTTAGCAGGTCCCTCCCCCACTACACTTGGCTGGGGGGGGTCGCGTACCACCGGCCAGGTGCGAAAGTACCACTGCTGGTACGCGGACCACCGGTTGAAAAGCCCTGGACTAGATGATCTCCAAGGGTCCCTTCCAGCTCATTTTCTGATTCTGTAATGATTTGCGGAGAGGAGGAGGAGGAGGAGGGGGAGGAGGAGGAGGAGGAAGAAGAAGAAGAAGAAGAAGAAGAAGAAGAAGAAGAAGAAGAAGAAGAAGAAGAAGAAGAAGAAGAAGAAGAAGAGGAGGAGGAGGAGGTGGTTAGGGTCTCCTGCTCGAGCAGGGGGTTGGACTAGATGCCCTCTATGGTCCCACCCAAGTCTGTTATTCCCCTCATTTTCTGATTCTGTAAGAATCTCCTGCCTGAGCAGAGGGTTAGACTGGATGACCTCCATGGTCCCTTCCACCTCGGTTATTCTACGATTCTGGAAGAGTCTCCTGCTCGAGCAGGGGGTTGGACTAGATGCCCTCCAAGGTCCCACCCAAGTCTGTTATTCCCCTCATTTGATGATTCTGTAAGAATCTCCTGCCTGAGCAGAGGGTTAGACTGGATGACCTCCGAGGTCCCTTCCACCTCGGTTATTCTACGATTCTGGAAGAGTCTCCTGCTCGATCAGGGGGTTGGACTAGATACTCTCCAAGGTCCCACCCAAGTCTGTTATTCCCCTCATTTTCTGATTCTGTAAGAATCTCCTGCCTGAGCAGGAGTGGATGACCTCCAAGGTCCCTTCCACCTCGGTTTTTCTACGATTCTGGAAGAGTCTCCTGCTCGAGCAGGGGGTTGGACTAGATGCTCTCCAAGGTCCCACCCAAGTCTGTTATTCCTCTCTATCCCTCCAAGTCGCTGGGAATCGCAGAGGCTGGATTTGTCCGAGAGAAGAACGGACAGGCTGATGCACAGAGAGGGGGAGGCAGAGACCCCCCCTTAACTCTGGGGTGGGGGCTATGGGGGCCTTGGGGCTCCTGGGAAGAGCCCAGCCGGGCTGGGGAAGGAATTGGGGGGGCTGGGGGGGGCTGCTGAGCCTTGCAGGATGGATCCAAGATGGAAAGATATCCCGACAGACGGATGGTCGAGGCTGGACAGGGATTGCAAAGGCAACTAAGAACAAAAAAAAGGGGGGGGCATTGAGGTCAGCCAAGAAAGACCAGCCGGGAAGTCGCCCCCCCCCCCAGCCGGGATTTTCCAAAGAAAAAAGCTGATTTTTCCTGCCAAGGATAACAAATGTTTCTTTGGCTGGGTCCATTCCAGGCCTCTGAAAGCAAAGCCGGCTGGAGGAGGCTTCCGGGTTGGCGCAATTTCGGAGGAGAGGACAAATTCCGGCCTTTGTTCTTTGTGCTTTTCAGGGCCATGGACACACACACACACACACCCACACACCCCATTTCCCAGCCAGCTTGACCAACCAGGTTGTGGTCTTCCCTCAGAAAAGAGCTGGAAGGGACCCTGGAGGTCTTCTAGTCCTGCCCCCTTACAGAATCGCGGAAGGTCAGAGTCGGAGGGGACCTTGGAGGTCATCTAGTCCGACCCTCTCATCAAGCAGGAGACCCTGACAGAAACGCAGAGCTGGAAGGGACCTCGGAGGTCATCCAGTCCAACCCGCTGCTCAAACCAGGAGACCCTGACAGAATCCCAGAGTTAGAAGGGACCTCGGAGGTCATCTAATCCCACCCTTCCCTCCCCGCCACCCCTCATGGAGGAGACCCTAACAGAATCACAGAATGACTTGAGCTGGAAGGGACCTCAGAGATTTTCTAGTCCAACCCCCCCCCTCGAGGAGGAGACCCCGGCAGAGTCGTAGAATCACAAGAGTTGGAAGGGAGCTCGGAGGTCATGCGGCTTGAGTAGGGGGCTGGACTAGAAGACCTCGAGAGGCCCCTTCCAGCTCAGCGATTCTACCATTCCCTAAGGGGTCTCCTGCGTCAGCCAAGGGGCTGGACTAGATGACCTCCGAGGTGCCTTCCAGCTCTGTGATTCTGGACGGCTCTCCTGCTTGCGCAGGGAGTTGGACTGGATGACCTCCGAGGTCCCGTCCAGCTCTGTCACTCCGTGTAAGGGGAGATCCAAACAGCGGAGGAAAGCGAAAGTCTCCCGGCGGCGGCGCTGCCTGGAAATCACGTGATCGAAAGGAACAAAGGCCCAGAGCGGCCCCCTCCCCTTCCCCCCCCAGCCATCCATAGGAAACGGGCTATTTTCTTCTCCGCGTTGATTCATCGCCCAAGGGCCGCTCCGGGCTGGGTCGCCTCCCCCCCCTTCTCCCCTCCCCTCCGCGCCCCCTCCCCCCGGGCAAAAGCCAGGCTCGCTTCCTCTGCTCTCGGCCGGCTGCTTTGCAGGGCGCCCCTCTCCCTCCCCCGCCTCCCCCCAGCAGCCTTTCCATTGGAAGAGAGCGGGAAGGGGCCTCGGAGGTCATCTAGCCCAACCCCCCTGCTGGAGTAGGTGACCCTGACAGCATCCCAGAATTGGAAGGGACGTCGGAGGTCGTCTGGTGCAGGCCTTTGTTCAAACAGGAGACTCAATGCCATTTCAGACAGGAGAGAGAGAGAGAGAGAGAGAGAGAGAGAGAGACAGACAGACAGACAGACAGACAGACAGACAGACAGATGACAAATGGATAGATAGTCAGACAAATGATAGATGAGATAGAGATGACAGATAGAGAGAGAGATGACAAATGGAGAGATAGAAATGATAGATAGATATAGACAGGCAGACAGACAGACACAGACAGATGACAAATGGATAGTCAGACAAATGATAGATGAGATAGAGATGATAGATAGATAAATGATAGCTGATAGATAGATAGATGACAAATGGATAGATAGTCAAAATGAGATGATAGATAGATAGATAGATAGATAGATAGATAGATAGATAGACAGGCAGACAGACCAACAAAGTGGGAAGGGACCTTGGAGGTCTTCTAGTCCAACCCCCTCTTCAGGCAGGAACCCCTACACCATTTCAGACAAGTGGCCATCCAGTCTCTTCTCATAAAACCTCCAGTGATGGAGCACCCACAACTTCTAGTGGCAGGCAGTTCCACCGGTTTAATTGTCCTCCCTGTCGGGAAGTTTCTCCATAGTTCCAGGCTGCTTCTCTCCCTCAGAAGTTCCCCTCCGCTGCTTCTTCTCCTGCCTTCGGGGGCTTTGGGGAGGAGGTGGACCCCCCCTTCTCTGTGGAAGCCCCTCAGATGTTAGTTTTGTTGCAGACGTTTCGTGACCCAACCGGGGAACGTCATCAGTGCTAGAAGGGAGTGAGCTTTGCAGAGTGGAGGAGAAGGAGGAGGAAGGACTGGGGCGTTCTTGGTGTTGTCTGAACTTGGTTATTTTCTTGCCGACGTTTTCGTGACCCAACTAGGAAACATCATCAGTTGTACTGTAGAAGGGAATGGAGTTTATGGAGGAGGAGGAGGAGGAGGAGGAGGAGGAGGAGGAGGAGGGGGAGGAGGAGGGGGAGGGGGAGGAGGAGGAGGAAGAGGAAAGACTGGGGAGACCTCGGTGTTGTCTGAACTTTTCTTGTAGACATTTCATGACCCAACTAGGGAACATCAACAGTGCTAGAAGGGAGTGAGGTTTGTGGGTAGGAGGAGGAGGAGGAGGAGGATGACGCCCCCCAGTCAATCACTTGTTTGAATTGCCCGTTGCCTGTGTATTACATTTTCACTGAGACCTAGTGTCAGGGCCCACTTCAAGACGTCATCCCGAGAAAGCAGAACTCATGGAAACCGTTTCTTCCAAAAGGAACTTTTATTAGGAGACGTTGCTAGCAAGCCCAAAAGCCAGGATCCGAGGGTTTCCCCTCTCGGATTGATAGGTAGAAAGTGTCCCAAGCAAAAAACCCACCCCAATCGTTCATCCGGTCAGTTCACACGGCCCAATCCCCGGGTGCTCCGTTCCTCGTGGGGAAAGGGGAGAGAACACCAGGCCGTCTCCGGTTGTGGCTGCGATGTGTTGGCGCTCTCGTCGCCCCTTCTCCTTCTCCTGGGAGCCCGGAGATAAATGGGTTGCCGGAGGTTGCCTTCCTTTCTTCCCCTCCCTTTGCTCGCTGATGAAGTTCACAGAAGGAGAACGCAGGAAAGCAAAGGGTTACACAGATGGAGGAAATCAAGGCAATAACCCTCAAACACTCCCCCCTCCACCCCCCCCTTGGAGTAGGGCAAGCCCCAGGAAGAGAGTGAGATTCGGGTCAGGAGGAAAGGCAGAGGGAAAGAAATGGAGGAGGGGGGAGGAAGGATAAGGGACCCTAGAGATATATGCCTTCTGACACCTGGTCAATCGGTTGATTGATGGCTGCTGAATACCCCACTCAAAGGGGCTCCGTGGTTTTTCGAGTGATGACGCCCTCTGGTCAAGTATATTTTACAAGAGGAAGGGGCATGTTGGAGAAACAGGATAGATGGATAGATAGATAGATAGATAGATAGATAGATAGATAGATAGATAGACAGACAGGAAAAAGAAAGAAAAGAAAGAAAGAAAGAAAGAAAGAAAGAAAGAAAGAAAGAAAGAAAGAGAAAGAAGGAAAGAGAAAGAAAGTGAAAGAAAAAGAAAGAAAGAAAGAAAGAAAGAAAGAGAGAGAGAGAGAGAGAGAGAAAAAAGAGAAAGAAAGAAAGAAAGAAAGAAAGAAAGAAAGAAAGAAAGAAAGAAGAAAGGAAAGAGGAAGAAAGAAAGAGAAAGAAAGAAAAGGAAGGAAGGAAGGAAGGAAGGAAGGAAGGAAGGAAGGAAGGAAGGAAGGAAGGAAGGAAGGAAGGAAGGAAGGGTTGGTTGGTAGATGGAAATAATAGATTAGACAGGTAGGTAGAGATAGATAGATAGATAGATAGATAGATAGATAGATAGATAGATAGGAAAGAAGGAAGGAAGGGATGGAGGAAGGAAAGGAGAGACAGCGGAAAGAAGGAAGGAGAGGAAGAAGAGGACGGGAGAAAAAAGAAAGGGAGAGGAAGGGAGAAAGAAAGGAAGGAAGGAAGCAGAAAGGAAGGAAGGATGGAAGGGAGAAAGGAAGGAAGGAGGGAGGGAGAGAGGGAGGAAGGAAGGAAGGAAGGAAGGAAAGAAGGAGGGAGGGAGGGAGGGAGGGAGGGAGTAGCAGAGCAGGGACCCTTTCCAGAATTGCCCTCGTGGAGATTTTTTCCCGGCGTTCCTTAGAGGATAGGACACAATCGGAAAAGGTCCACTCTCTTCTTCAACGTCTTCTTGTCGGCCTCCAGCATCTCCTCCGTGTAACAAGGAGCGTCCTGGTTCTCCTTCACCAGCTTGTCAATCATCTCCATCAGCTGGGCCACCTGCGCCTCTCGCTCCGCCCCTTCGGCCTTGTTGTTGAAAGCCAGGTAGCGTTTCCCGCACAGGTACACCTGCTCCTTCAGGGCGCAGTTCCCCTTGGAGATGAACTGGTCGAGCGCCTCCCCTTCCAGATCCTCCTTCCGGGTGAACAGGAGGATCATGTATTTCTTGGCGTTGAGGGTGAAGATCTCCTTGATCATCTGAGCCACCTCCTCCTCCTCCTTAGTGAAACGGCCCGGGCGGATCACCTGCAGGATGACGTGAGGGCCCGGGGTGCAAAACTTCACGCAGTTCTTCACTTCGGCCGCCGTTTCGGCCTTGGAACGCCCAGTGTCGAGGAAACCGGGCGTGTCGACCACCACCACCTTCCGACCGTTCACCTGCGTCTCCTCCTTTTGGCAACACTTGGTGACGGAACCGAAAGCCATCTTCGATTCGAAGATGCGGCTTCCGAGGATGGTGTTACCCGTCGCGCTCTTCCCGTTGCCGGTTTTGCCCACCAGGACGATCCTCCGTTCGGACCCTATGACCCAAAGTGGGGGGGAGGGGAGAGAAGAAGGGAACCGGTCAGCAGCGTTGGGGGGAGACAACCAGGCTGGTGCCAAGGGAGGCGTCAAACAGGTTATAAGCCGTGAGTCCCTGCACGCTCATGAGAAATCGACATTCAGCTGTCTTCATCTCCCCGTCATTTCCCCCTGACCATTAATAGGTCAGATTTTTGTAGAGAGCTTAAACTGGCAATAAATCCTTATGCTCTGTCTTCTGTATCTATCTCTAACTATCACCTAATTTATCTCTGTCTGTCTGTCGGTCGGTCTGTCTGTCTATCTATCTATACCACTCAACCTGTGGGTCGCGACCCCATTTGGGGTCGAACGACCATTTCACGGGGATCGCCAAACAACGCCATTTTTCCCCCTTTTCCTTAGCTGTGCTACTCCCTTTTATTCTATTGGCTTTGGAAAGCCAATAGAAGAGACTCTCTTGAATAGGGTCTAATTCTATTGGCTTTCCAAAGCCAATAGGAATGGTCCAGGCTGAGCTGCCAAAAGTCCCAGTCTGCAAATGGTGCTGCACCAGTTGGGTAGTCCTCAGCTTACGACCAGTTGGGGGTTGCGGCATTAAAAAGGTTGAGAACCACTGATCTATATCTATGATTTATACCGATCTTATCACATTTTTTTTTATTGAAAGTTTTTAAATTTTACAAAACAATACAACCCTTCCCGAAACCTCCCCAACCCTCCCATTCCCTCCCCCGACCTTCCCAGAGCTGAATATAGGCTTAATTGAAATTTCTTCAAAAAATCTTAAAAAAAGATATAAACCATGAATAAATCTAAATACATTAATTAAACAGATTATAAGATACTTAACAATAATATATATATATATAAAAAAACATAAATACAAAAAAAAACTTAAAAAGAAAAAAAATAGGAAAAAAGAAAAAAGATAAAAAAAATAAAATAAAAAAATAAGATCTATAAAATATTATAAATTTTAAATATGAGTTATTGAAAAACTAGATAATATTTTTTTATATCCAACTTGTATTGTATGAAGTCTATCCATTTTTTCCATACCACAAAATACTTCTCTTGCGATTGATCCTTCAAGAAAGCCGAAATCTTTGCCATTTCCGCCAAATAAGAAACTTTAAAAAACCACTCTTGCAAAGTAGGCAAAGATTCCTTCTTCCAACATTGCCCTACTAACAACCTTGCGCTGTAATTAAATTTAACATCAATGTAGTCTCTTTAGTATCACAATCAGTAACAATACCTAACAAAAACAATTGTGGGGTAAATTTTACCCTCCTTCTAAAAATTCTTTGAATATTCCACCATATCTTAATCCAAAAAGCTTTTATATTTTTACATAACCACCAAATGTGATAATAAGTAGCATCCAAACATCCACATCTCCAACATTTAGGCTGTAAGTCAGGATACATACGAGACATTTTTTGTGGATCAAGGTGCCATCTATAAAACATTTTATAAAAATTCTCCCTTAAATTTTGGGCTTGTGTAAATTTGACAGTCCTCACCCAAATAATTTCCCAGGTATCTAGTAGAACTGGTTCACCAAAGTTTTGTGCTCATTTAATCATACATTCTTTGACTAATTCTGCTTCTGAATCCAATTCTACTAACACCCCATAAATTCTCTTAATATGAGTTCGTCTTTGATCTTTTATTTGTTTTAACAAATTCTCATCTTCTCTAAGCAAACCCACATTACGATCTATCTTCCACCTATCCACTATTTGTCTATACTGGAACCATGAGTAAATAATATTTTCTTGTGTTAAATCTTCCAAAGATTTTAACTGCCAATTTTTACCATCCCATCTAAGTAATTGTGCGTAAGAAACACTATCCATCTTAACTCCTCTCCTTATCCCTTCTATCGCATGCCATGGTATAGCCCATAATGGAATTTTAAAATCACTTCTATAATATTTCCTCCAAACCCGAAGTAAAGAAATCCTTATAATGTGAGATTTAAAGACCCTATCGACCTTTTTATTAAAAATTAAATAGGCATGCCATCCAAAAAGTAAATCCCAACCCTCCAAGAGGAGTATTTCTACGTTTGTTAAATTAACCCAATCACTTATTAATGTTAAAACCACAGCCTCATAATACAATTTCAAATTCGGTACCTTGAGTCCACCTCTCTCACAAATATCTTGTATAATTTTAAGTTTTACTCTTGGTTTTTTCCCTGCCCAGATAAATTTATTAATACCTTTCTGCCATTCATCTAAATTAACCTCATTCTTTAAAATAGGTATCATTTGAAATAAAAAAAGAAACTTTGGCAAAACATTCATTTTAATCGCCGCAATTCTTCCCAAAAGAGATAATTGCAACTTCTCCCAATTTTTCAAATCTCTTTGTATATTGACCCACAACCTTTCATAATTATTTTTATACAATTTTGCATTAGAAACAGATAAAATAACCCCCAAGTATTTTACCTTATTAACAACCTCAAAATCTGTCAGGTTAACCAAAATCTGCTTATCCAGATTAGTCATATTTTTGGGCAATATTTTAGTTTTATTATTATTAATTTTAAAACCCGAAACCTGTCCATATTGATGTATCAATTGTAGTAGCTCTATTACAGAATAAGTAGGTTGGGATAAGGTAACCACCAAGTCATCTGCGAAGGCCCTTAATTTATATTCTTTTTTATTAACTTCTATTCCTTTTATTTGCTGTGATTCTCGAATTTTAATCAGCAATATTTCCAAAGTTAAAACAAACAGCAACGGTGACAATGGACAACCCTGTCTAGTCCCCTTCTCTATTGTAAACACATCTGACAAACCCCCATTAACTATAAGTTGTGCCGTTTGTTTTTGATAAATAACACCAAGAGCTGTAAAAATTTTTCTCCAAAATTCATTTTCTCAATTAATCTTAACATAAATTGCCAATTCAATTGGTCAAAAGCTTTTTCTATCACATTTTATATCTATGCATCTATCTATCTATCTATCTCTATCCTAATTTATATCTGTCTTTCTGTCTATCTACTATATCTATCTCTAACTATCATCTAATTTATCTCTATCTTCTATATCTCTCTCTATCACTATCTATCTATCTATCTATCTATCTATCTATCTATCTATCTATCTATCTATCTATCTATCTATCTATCTATCTATATCTCTCTATCAGCTAATTTATATCCATCCATCCATCTATCTATTTATCTATCTATCTATCTATCTATCTATCTATCTATCTTCTATATCTATCTCTAACTCTATCACCTAATTTATATCTTATCTTATCTATCTATCATCTATCTATCTATCATCTATCTATCTATCTATCTATCTATCTATCTATCTATCTATCTATCTATCTATCTATATCGTCAACATCTATCTCTACCACCTAATTTATCTCTGTCTGTCTCTGTCTATCTATCTATCTATCTATCTATCTATCTATCTATCTATCTATCTTCTACATCTATTTCTAGCTATCATCTCTATCTTCTATATCTATCTCTATCAGCTATCTATCTATCTATATCTATCTATCTATCTATCTATCTATCTATCTATCTATCTATCTATCTATCTATCTATCATCTATCTATCGTCAATATCTATCTCTACCACCTAATTTATCTCTGTCTGTCTGTCTGTCTTTCTCTCTCTCTATCTATCTTCTACATCTATCTCTAGCTATCATCTCTATCTTCTATATCTATCTCCATCAGCTAATATATCTATCTATCTATCTATCTATCTATCTATCTATCTATCTATCTATCTATCTATCATCTACCTATCTCTATGTATCATGTGTAATTTCTACGATTTATCTGTCATCCATCCATCCGTCCATCTATCGGAGGAGATCACCAGGCTGAGCCCGAGGGAGGCGTCAAAGGCGCCATCGGTCGTGCATCCCTGCGTGCGCCCTCGCAAGACAGCAGGACACCCAGGACAGCAGCTCCCACCCCCCCAGCTCATCCCCCCCCCACACCGCCCCCCCCAGGGACCCAGACTTTACCTTGGATGTTTCCAGCCATTTCCAGACAACGGGGCTCGGCCCAAAAGAGCCGAGAGGAATGTGATGGATCAAAAGAGAGAGAGAGAAAAAAAAATAAATCAGCCGAAGGAGAGGCCTCTCGCTTGGTTATTATAGCCACCAGCTCTCCACCCCCAGAGGAAGCAAAACAGGAATTGGAGGGGGAGGGTCTTAAAAGAAGCTGCACCCCCCCTTCTTTACTGCCCCCCCCCCCGCTTGGGGCTGATCCATCTGGTCCTCTCTCCCCCCCCGCCTCCTTTTCAATCGTCCCTTCCACTCTTGTGGAGGAGGAAAGTTAAGGTTAGGGTCTACCTGCTCCAGCAGGGGGTTGGACTAGATGCCCTCCAAGGGTCCCACCCGAGACCGCCATTTCCCCTGGATTCCCTCCAAGTCGCTGGGAATGACAGAGGCCGGATTGGTCGGAGAGAAGAACGGACAGGCTGATGCACGGAGAGGGGGAGGCAGAGACCCCCCCCTTATCTCTGGGGTGGGGGCTATGGGGGCCTCGGGGCTCCTGGGAAGAGTCCAGCCGGGCTGGGGAAGGAATTGGGGGGCTGGGGGGGCTGGGGGGGCTGCTGAGCCTTGCAGGATGGATCCCAGATGGGAAAGATATCCCGAGGGACGGAGGGTGGAGGCTGGGCAAGGATTGCAAAGGCCACAAGGAACAAAAAAGAGAGGGGGGGGGCATTTGAGGTCAGCCAAGAAAGGCCAGCCGGGAAGTCGCCCCCCCCCTCCCCAGCCAGGATTTTCCAAAGAAAAAAGCCGATTTTTCCTGCCATGGAAAAGAGATGTTTATTCGGTGGGTCCATTCAAGGCGTAATTCCGGCCTTTGTTCCCGCAAGCTCAGGGACTGATGGATGGATTTGGGGCCACTGAGATACACACACACACACACACACACACACACACACACACACACACACACACAGAGACACTGTTTCCAAGCCAGCTTCACCAACCAAGTCTTGGTCTTCCATCAGAAAAGAGCTGGAAGGGAATCTGGAGGTCATCCAGTCCAACCCGCTGCTCAAGCAGGAGACCCTTACAGAATAAAAGAGCAGGAAGGGACCTTGGAGGTCATCCAGTCCAACCCGCTGCTCAAGCAAGAGACCCTTACGGAAGAAAAGAGCAGGAAGGGACCAAGGAGGTCATCTAGTCCAACCCCTTGCTCAGGCAGGAGACCCTTACGGAATAAAAGAGCTGGAAGGGACCTCGGAGGTCATCCAGTCTAACCCCTTGCTCAAATAGGAGACCCTTACAGAATCACAGGACAGAGTTGAAAGGGACCAAGGAGGTCATCTAGTCCAACCCCTTGCTCTAGCAAAGTGGTTCTCAACCTGTGGGTCGGGACCCCATTTGGGGTCGAACGACCATTTCACACACACACACACACAGACACACACACAGACACTGTTTCCAGGCCAGCTTCACCAACCAGGTCTTGGTCTTCCATCAGAAAAGAGCTGGAAGGGAACCTGGAGATCATCCAGTCCAACCCGCTGCTCAAGCAGGAGACGGTTACCGAAGCACAGAAGGACCGAGTTGAAAGGGACCTCGGGGGTCATCTAGCCCAACCCCCTGCTCGAGCAGGAGACCCTGACGGAATAAAAGGGCTGGAAGGGACCTCGGAGGTCATCCAGCCCAACCCCTTGCTCGAGCAGGAGACCCTTATGGAATAAAAGGGCTGGAAGGGACCTTGGAGGTCATCTAGTCCAATCCGCTGCTCCAGCAGGAGAGCCTTACGGAATAAAAGAGCTGGAAGGGACCTCGGAGGTCATGTAGTCCAACCCCCTGCTCCAGCAGGAGACCCTGACAGAATCGCAGAAGGACAGAGCTGGAAGGGATCTCGGAGGTCATCTAGTCCAACCCCCTGCCCGAGCAAGGGACCCTTAGAGAGTCACAGAAGGACAGGGGCACTCCGAGGGGCCTTTCAGCTCTGTTCCAATTGAAAGGCTGCTGGAGGCGGGGAGGGGGCCTTTGGGGGAGGGAAAGGGGGGCTTTGTGGGGAGGAGGGGACACAGCCCTAAGCGGCTGCTGTGCGCGATGAAGAAACGCGGAGGATCTGTGAATCTGGGATTACGGAAGGGTCTCCTCCTCGAGCCAGGGGGTTGGACTGGATGACCTCCAAGGCCCCTTCCAGCTCTGTAACTCTACTGTTTTCTAAGGGTCTCCTGCTCGAGCAGAGGGTTGAGCTAGAGGACCTCCGAGGTCCCTTCCAGCTCTTTTATTTTGTAAGGGTCTCCTGCTCGAGCCAGGGGGTCGGGCTAGATGACCTCCGAGGCCCCTTCCAGCTCTGTGACTCTACTGCTTTCTAAGGGTCTCCTGCTCGAGCCAGGGGGTCGGGCTAGATGACCTCCAGGGACCCTTCCAACTCTCCTTCTAGGATTCTGTCAGGGTCTCCTCCTTGAGCAGGGGGTTGGACTGGATGACCTCCGAGGTCCCTTCCAGCTCTGTCGCTCCGTGTAAGGGGAGAGCCAAAGAGCGGAGGAAAGCGAAAGTCTCCCGCCGGCGGCGCTGCCTGGAAATCACGTGATGGAAAAGAAGAACGACTCACCACGAGCCCCCCCCTCTCCCGCCCCCCCCCCAGGCCCAGGAAAGAGGCGGGGCGCCCAAGGGCCGCTCCGGGCTGGGTCGCCTCCCCCCCTTCTCCCTCCTCCCACGCCCCCCCCCGGGCAAAAGCCAGGCTCGCTTCCTCTGCTCTCGGCCGGCCGCTTTGCAGGGCGCCCCTCCCCCTCCCCCGCCTCCCCCCAGCAGCCTTTCCATGGGAACAGAGCGGGAAGGGGCCTGGGAGGTCATCTAGCCCAACCGCCTGCGCGAGCAAGAGACCCTGACAGAATCACGGAGTTGGAAGGGACCTCGGAGGTCATCTAGATGGATGGATGAATAGATGGATGGATGGATGGATGGATGGATGGATGGATGGATGGATGGATGGATGGATGGATGAATGGATGGTCAGAGAAGATAGATAGATGATAGATAGAGAGAGAGAGAGAGAGAGAGACAGACAGACAGACAGACAGACAGACAGATACAGATAGATAGATAGATAGACAGATAGATAGATAGATAGATAGATAGATAGATAGATAGATAGATAGATAGATAGATAGGGAGGGATAGGTAGATAGATATATAGATAGATAGATAGATAGATAGATAGATAGATAGATAGATAGAGAAAAAAGGAAGGAGGTAAGGAAGGAAGGAAAGAAGGAAAGAAGGGATGGAGGAAGGAAAGGGAGGAAAAAGAAAGGGGGAGAGCGGAAGGAAGGAAGGGGACAGAGGAAGGAAGGAAGGAAAGGTTGGTAGATAGAAATGATAGATTAGATGGTAGATGAAAGAAAGAGGAAGGAAGGGAAGGAAGGAAAAAAAGAAAGAGGGAGGGGAGGGAAGGAAGGAGGGCAGGAAGGAGGGAGGAAAAACGAAAAGAAGGAGGAAGGAGTGGAGGAAAGAAAGGCGAGACAGTGGAAAGAAGGAAAGAAGAAAGAGAGGAAGGGAGGGAGGGAAGGGAGGAAGGAAAGAGAGAGAGGAAGGCAGAGAGGAAGGAAGGGAGGAAAAGAGGGAGGGAGGCAGGGAGGAAGGAAGGAAGGAAGGGAGAGAGAGAGGGAAGGACAGGGAAGGAAGAAGGAACGGACGAGAGAAAGGTGAGACAGTGGAAAGAAGGAAGAGAGGAAGGTGGGAGGGAGAGAGGAAAGAAGGAAAGATAGGGAGGAAGGGAGGAAAAGAGGAAGGGAGAAGGAAGGAGGGCAGGAAGGGAGGAAGAAGGAAAGGAAGGTGGCAGGAAGGCACGGAGGAAAGAAAAGACAGACAGTGGAAGGAAGGAAGAGGAAGAGGAGGGAGGGAGGAAGGAAGGAAAAGAGAGGGAGGGTTGACCCGGAGTTAGGAGACCGCGGGAGGAAGCGTCACTTGTGAATGGGGGTCTTTGGGCTCTAGCAGAGTCGCGGATGCGGGTCTCCTGAAAGGAGAGCAAGGCAAACACGTGATCTCGAAGGAAACAGCCAACATTTTGAACTCCTTCCGCTTTCTCCCTTCTTATCTACAGCGCGACAGACTTACGGGTGTGTGTGCGTGCGTGCGTGTTCGTGTGAAATCTCGATCTGACGCGTGTCAGCTTTGCCGGCTGGAACTGCTTGTGTCGTCGTCGGAAAGAATCAACGCCAAACGTTCCTGCCCCGCCCTTCCAACTCTGGCTCGACTAGATGACCTCCAGCGTCCCTTCCAGCTCTGCCCTTCTGCGATTCCGTCAGGGTCTCCGGCTCGAAGAAGCAGGGGGCTGGGCTAGATGACCTCCAGGGTCCCTTCCAGCTCTTGTGATTCTATAAGAGTCGCCTGCTCGAGGAGGGGGACGGACTAGACTAGATGATCTCCCACGTCCCTTTCTATTCTTTATTCTGCGATGCCATAAGGGTATGCTGCTTGAGGAGGGGGTTGGGCTAGATGACCTCCGAGGTCCCTTCCGGCTCTGTCACTCTGTGATTCTGTCAGGGTCTCCAGCTCGAGGAAGGGGTGGGACTGGATGACCTCCAAGGTGCCTTCCTACGCTCCTATTTGGTAAGGGTCTCCTGCTCGAGCAGGGGGGCTGGACTAGATGACCTCCAAGGTCCCTTCCGACTTTGTGCTTCTGCAAGGGTCTCCTGCTTCAGCAGGGGGGCTGGACTAGATGACTTCCCAGACCCCTTCCGACTTTGTGTTTCTGCCAGGGTCTCCGGCGCGAGGAGGGGGCTGGACTAGATGACCTCCCAGAACCCTTCCAACTTTGTGCTTCTGCCAGGGTCTCCGGCGCGAGGAGGGGGCTGGACTAGATGACCTCCCAGACCCCTTCCGACTTTGTGCTTCTACCAGGGTCTCCAGCTTGAGGAAGGGGTGGGACTAGATGACCTCCAAGGTCCCTTCCGACTTTGTGCTTCTGCAAGGGTCTCCTGCTTCAGCAGGGGGGCTGGACTAGATGACCTCCCAGACCCCTTCCAACGTCGTGTTTCTGCCAGGGTCTCCGGCGCCAGGAGGGGGCTGGACTAGATGACCTCCAAGGCCCCTTCCGGCTCTTTCCTAACGGAAGACCCAAGACCTGGTTCTGTCAGTGGCCTCCGGGAAGGGCTAGGAAGACCCCCCCCGGCTCACAACACACACACACACACACACACACACACAAACACACAGAGAAAACCCGTTTCAGAAAGAAGAAATTCACTCTCGCAGCCAGTCGGAGGGGCGGGGAGGTGGGTGGAAGAGGCCCCGCCCCCTCCCCTTCCTGCCCCGCCCACCTCTGCCTAGCGAAGGGCGATTCCTCCCCCCCCCCGCAGAAGCGAAAGCAGCCCGCAGCCCGTCGGGGGAAGCAGCTGAGAGGCAGACGCGACCCCCTCCGCGCCCAGCTGGAGACTCGCTCAGGTTGCTGTCCGACAGGTCGAGCCGGGTAGAAAGTGGGGGGGAGGAGGGAGGGAGGGAGGGGGGGGCCTTCGACAGACGAGCTTGGCACTTAGAAGCACCGCGTGGGAAGGGGCCTCGGAGGCCATCTAGTCCAGCCCCCTGCTCGAACAGGAGCCCCCCCCCGCCAGATTCACAGAGTGGGGAAGGGGCCTCGGAGGGCATCTAGTCCAGCCCCCTGCTCAAGCGGAGCCCCCGCCAGATTCACAGAGTGGGGAAGGGGCCTTGGAGCATCTAGTCCAGCCCCCTGCTCGAGCAGGAGCCCCCCACCAGATTCACAGAGTGGGGAGGGACCTGGAGGGCATCAAGTCCAGCCCCCTGCTCGAGCAGGAGCCCCCCTGCCAGATTCACAGAGTGGGGAAGGGGCCTCGGAGGCCATCTAGTCCAGCCCCCTGCTTGAGCAGGAGCCCCCCCCCGCCAGATTCACAGAGTGGGGAAGGGACCTCGGAGGCCATCTAGTCCAGCCCCCTGCTCGAGCAGAAGACCCCCTACCCTTGCTGACTCCCTCTCTCCCTCCCCCTGCCACCCCTCCGTCTCAGCTGCTACCGTCTCAGACAAGTGACTGTCTTGTCTCTTCTTCAAAAAACGTCCAGTGATGGAGCGCCCACAATTTCTGGTGGCAAGCAGTTCCACCGCTGAATCGTCCTCCCTGTCAGGAACTCTCTCCTTCATTCCAGGTTGCTTCTCTCCTTGGTCAATCTCCAAGCGTGCTTTCTTCTCCCGCCCTCCGGTGCTTTGGAGAATCCTTTCGAACTCTGCTCTTCTCTGACTCCGTAAGGGTCTCCCGCTTCGGCAGGGGGTTGGACAAGATGACCTCCAAAGGTCCCTTCCGGCTGTTTTTCTGATTGATTGGTGGAGGCAGGCTGGCACTGAAGCGGGATCCAGCTGAAGGCTGGCGTTTGGGGATCGATTCCCACCTTTCCCGAAGCCCCAAAGCAGGGGAGGAGAAAGGAGGGATCGGGATGACTCCGCCTCAAGTCTGTGGGGAGGGGAGGAGGGATCGCTTTTAATCCCTCTCTCTCCAATCGCTGCCTGTGTCTTCTGGAGGGGGGCCCCTGTCTATCTCCGGTGGGGCCTCAAGTCTGTGGGGAGGGCCAGGGATCGCTTTTAATCCCTCTCTCTCCAATGCCTGTGTCTTCGAATCTCCCGGGCAAGCCTCAAGTCTATGGGGAGGGTGTGGAGGGATCGCTTTTAATCCCTCTCTCTCCAATCTCTGCCTGTGTCTTCTGGAGGGAGGGGGGCCCTGTCCATCTCTGAGCTGGCAAACCTCAAATTTGTGGGGAGGGCCTCGAGGGATCGCTTTTAATCCCTGTCTCTCCAATCGCTGCCTGTGTCTTCTGGAGGGAGGTGGGCCCATCTATCTTCGAGCCGGGCAAGCCTCAAGTCTGTGGGGAGGGGCTGGAGGGATCGCTTTTAATCCCTCTCTCTCCAATCGCTGCCTGTGTCTTCTGGAGGGAAGGGGGGCCCTGTCCATCTCCGAGCCGGCAAACCTCAAATTTGTGGGGAGCGGCTGGAGGGATCGCTTTTAATCCCTCTCTCTCCAATCTCTGCCTGTGTCTTCTGGAGAGAAGGGGGCCCCCTGTCTATCTCCGAGCCGGGCAAGCCTCAAGTCTGTGGGGAGGGCGTGGAGGGATCGCTTTTAATCCCTCTCTCTCCAATCGCTGCCTGTGTTCTTCTGGAGGGAAGGGAGGGGCCCTGTCCATCTCCAAGCTGGGCAAGTCTCTCCTTTGGCTGAGTCTGTTTCGCTTTTTTCCCCCAGAAAGATCGTGATTTGTCCTGTGGGAATCTTCTGGAATCTTCTGGAAATGGCTGCAAGCATCGAATGTAACGTTTTGGGTCCCTGAGGGTGAGGGGGTGGGGGCGGGAGTGAGTTGGGACTCGCTCTCCTGGGTGGAGGGACAGGCTGTGATGACGTGCGTACACGGCTGATCCGGGTCGCCTTTTGTGCGTCCTCCCCCCGTTGCGTTGCAGGGCCCGAGCGGAGGATCGTCCTGGTGGGCAAGACCGGGAATGGGAAAAGCGCGACGGGAAACGCCATCCTGGGAAGCAAAGCCTTTTACGCGGTGGCGTCGCCTAACTCCGTCACTGTGTCTTGCGAAAGGAAGGAGGCGTCGTGGAACGGCAGTAAGATTGTGGTGGTGGACACGCCGGGCTTTTTCGACACCAAGGTTCCACCGCACAAAACGGCGGAGGAAGTGAAGAAGTGCGTGAAGATGTGCGCCCCGGGCCCGCACGTCATCGTGCAGGTGATTCGTCCGGGCCGTTTTTCCCAGGAGGAGAAGGACGTGGCTAAGCTGATCAAGGAGATCTTCAACCTCAATGCCAAGCATTACATGATCCTCTTGTTCTCCCGGAAAGAGGACCTGGAAGAGAAAACTCTGGAGCAATTCCTGTCCGAGGATGATTCCTCTCTTCGGGATCAAGTCTCCGAATGCGGGTCCCGGATCCTGGCTTTCGACAACAAGGCCGAAGGCAAAGAACAAGAGACCCAGATGGACCAGCTGATGAGCATGATTGATCAGCTGGTGTTCATGAACCGCGAAGCGCCGTATTACACGGAAGACATGATGAAGAAGGACGAAAAGCAGTATAAGACAAAGAAGAATTTCTCCTGGTGCTCTCTTCTCTAAAAAAAAAAAACACCCCAAAGTCTTCCTACTCGATCCTTTCCTCTCGGGGGCAGCTCTCCCACAGGCCACAGCCCTGCGTTTCCCCCCTTTTGTTCCGTTCGAATCCAGCTCTCGCCGGGAGACCTCCGACGAACCCGAGTCGTGGCGGAATCACCCCAAGCCACTTCCTCCTCCCGAGAAGCCGATTTCTCCCCCCAGGATGACGGACTTTCTTCAATAACCTGCCCCCACACCCGTGTCTGCCGGGTCCATAGCCTCATTCCCTACCAGCTTGGACCCTTTGGAAAGACACTCTCTTTCGTGCTTCCCGTCTCTCAATCCTTCGAGGGAGACCAGGCCAGGAAACCACCAACACAAGAAATGTTAGAGCTGGACTTTATTGGGATAAATGACAGTAGCATCTCCCCTTCACTCTCGCTGGCACCAAAGCGCATCGAGGCAGGACAGCCTTGAGGTTCTATCTCACCCGTTCCTGTTTTCCTGGGGCGAATCCGTGTTTTCCTACATGTTTTCTTTGGGGCTTCCCCATCTGTCAATCCTTCGAGGCAGACCAGGCCGACAAACCACCGACACAAGAAATATTAGACTTTGTTGGTACTGATTATAGTAGCAGAATCTTGAAAATGTCTCCCGTTTGCTCCCGCTGGCACCAAAGAGCATCAAGGCAGGACAGCCTTGAGGTTCTTTCTCCCCCATTCCTGTTTTCCTGGGGCGAATCCCTGTTTTCCTACATGTTTTCTTTGGGGCTTCCCCATCTGTCAATCCTTCGAGGCAGACCAGGCCGAGAAACCACCGACACAAGAAATAGTAGACTTTGTCCGGTACCGATTATAGTAGCAGAATCTTGAAAGTGTCTCCCCGTCGCTCCCGCTGGCACCAAAGCGCCTCAAGGCCGGGCAGCCTTGGGGTTCTTGCTCACCTGTTCCTGTTTTCCCGGGGTGAATTCACATTTTCCTTATACAGGTGCCGCCCGTTTCCTGAAAGGCCGTCTCTGTACTTTTCCACACCGCCTTCCAATGGTGAATCTGGACTCACGAGGGAAATCCTGTCGGTTCTTCTTATGAAAACCTTTTTATTAAATCTCCTCCTCGCTTTGGAAAGAAGCCGTGTGTTTTGAAGGCGGGATTTGGGGGAGAACAGCCTGGTCGGTCACCTCTAGCTTAGCCGGATCCACGCAGCAACCCACTCGCAGAGGGGGAGGGGGGCAGGGAACGAGGGGAATCTACTCGAGGGGTGGGTCAGAATGCAGGGTGCTCTGCCGATGGGAGAGGGAGGGGTCCCTCCTGCACGACAAGCAAGCCTTTATTGGTCTAAATGACAGCAGCAGAATCCTGAAAGTGTCTCCCCTTCACTCCCGCTGGCAACAAAGAGCATCAAAGAAACGCAGGCTTGAGCTTCTTTCTCACCCCTTCCTGTTTTCCCGGGGTAAATTCACGTTTTCCTTAGACAGCTGCCACGGGGGGAGTTGGAATGAGGGGAATCTACTGAAGGGGTAGGTCAGAATGCAGCGTGCTCCCCCAAAAGTTTTCCACCCTGGAAGCAGGAGGGGGGGGTCCCTCCTGCATGGCAAGTGAGCCTTTATTGGTCGAAATGACAGCAGCAGAATCCTGAAAGTGTCTCCCCTTCGCTCCCGCTGGCACCAAAGAGCATCAAGGCAGGGCAGCCTTGAGCTTCTTTCTCACCCCTTCCTGTTTTCCTGGGGTAAATTCACGTTTTCCTTAGACAGCTGCCACAGGGGGAGATGGAACGAGGGGAATCTACTCCAGGGGTGGGTCAGAACGAAGGGTGCTCCCCCGAAAGCTTTCCACCTTGGAAGTGGGGGGGGGTCCCTCCTGCAATGGCAAGCGAGCCTCCGTTCGGTCCCCCACCTTTCACTTTCAGCGCGTCCCTTTGCCAGATTGCCCTGGGTTTCCTCGTCCGGCAGGCAAAGAAGGAAGGGTCAGCTGTCCAGTGGCCAAAGAAGTTTGGGCCTGTCTCCGGCCTCAACTCCAGCCCTCATTGGGCCATGCCTTTTCCACATTCCCCCCCAGCCTTCACACACACACACACACACACACGCACACACACACACACACACACACCATCCTTTCCTTCGGTCCTTAGCCTTAGTCCTTAGTCTCTGGGCGTTTACACTTTCCGGTGTGCCCACTGTGATAGGTCCACGCCCTATTCTTCTAATTTTTGTCTGTGTTTTAATTTCCCTTCAGGATTCAAAACGTCTTGATAAGTCACAATTTTCTCACCGGTGATTAAGTTTGGGCGAACGCCTTGAGGATGTTTAGGATCCGGAGGCTTGGCAACTTGACTCGTATTTAGGGCGGTCGCAGCGTCCCCCCGGGGGGGTCACGTGATCCACTGGTGTGACGTACTATCTCCTGGGGGGGAGAGGATGACAGTGGGGTGTCCCGATCCGCAGTTGCGACCTACTGTTTTCTGGGGGGGAGGGGACAACAATGGGGTGTCCCAGGGCTTCCTTCGGACACCCCATTTTCGTCCCCTCCCCCCCAGGAGACAGTAGGTCGCAACAGCGGATCACGTGACCACCACACCCCCGGGGGGGGACGCTGCGACCGTCCTAAGTATGAGTCAAGTTGCCCAGCCTCCGGGTGTCAATCAGCGGCCCTCAGGGTGAGAAATCGTCAAAACGTTTTCCCGTGCCGTCGTAACTTCCGACCGTCAGTAAGCAAGCTATTGTAAGTCTACCTGTACTGTATCCCTTTTTTCCTCCCCCCCCCGTCCGTCGAGTTTTTGACCCCTTGCTAAGGCAAGTGGTTGGTCTCGAAACGTCGCCGAAATGTCCTCAAAAGTGTTCGGCCAAACTTAAATCAACAATGAGAAAATTGTGACTTATCGAGACGCTTTGAATAAGGAAGGGAAATTAAAGCACAGGCCGGAATTCAAAGAACGGGGTATGGACCTATCACGGTGGGCACGCCTGAAAATCTAAACGCGATCTAAACGCGATCGGAAAAAGATTTATTTATAAACAGCAGGCAGAATTCGATCGGAAAAAGATGATCCAAAACAGTGGTTCTCAACCTTTTTAATGCCGTGACCCCCAAACGGTCGTAAGTTGAGGACTACTCAACTGGTGCAGCCCCGTTTGCAGAATGGGACTTTTGGCGGGCTCAGCAGGGCAGAGACAGCCTGGACCATTCCTATTGGCTTTGGAAAGCCAATAGAATGAGACTCTGTTCAAGAGAGTCTATTCTATTGGCTTTCCAAAGCCAATAGAATAAAAGGGAGGAGCACAGCTAAGGAAAAGGGGGAATAAAATGGCGGACTGCGTTGTTTGGCGACCCCCGTGAAATGGTCGTTCGACCCCAAATGGGGTCCCCACCCACAGGTTGAGAACCACTGCTATATAGTTTCCTCGAATCTTCATTGAGTTTCAGAGTTTGCGTCTTGAAATTCTTAGTTCCTGCATTGCGGTTTGTTCTTGTGCCCTTTTTATATTTCTTTTTTGCGTCTTAAATTTGACTTGTAATTCAGTCATGAAATGTTACTGTTTTTCTTTTTGGGCATTTCACTTTCTTGCAGTTGAATTTTGTTTTCGTTGGTCATTGCATTGAAGTGTTTTGAATAAAGAAGATCATCACGAAATGCACGTATCACGAAGTTTGGGAATAAAATTTCTCACACACAGTTGAGATAGGGGAAAAAGACTGGAAATAAAGTATTTGCATCGATATGTCCTGATGACAGTTTTAAAGGAAACAAAAAAAAGGGTTTGCATAAATTGAAGAATTATTTCCTATGTTGTGATTGAGAGGTTGTTTTGGGGGGAGGGGGGCGATGACGACTTCCTCATTGGCTCAAGGGGGCAATTCGTTCAAAAAGGTTAAGAACCACTGGACTAGATGACCTCTAAGGTCCCTTCTGACTCTAAATTTCTGTTGAAATGTCTGCAAAATTCTATAAATCCGTAAGGCTCCCCCTGCTCGACGGGAGGAGGGGGGCGGCGGGTGGGGGGGGGCGTTTGGGTTGGACTAGATGACCTCCCAGGTCCCTTCCAATTGTGTGATTCGGTAAGAGTCTCCTGCTCCAGCGTGTGCGTGTGCATGTGTGTGTGTGTGTGTGTTGACTTCCAAGGTCCCTTCTGACTGAGTGATTCTGTAATTCTGTAAAGGTCTCCTACACAAGGGGGGGGGAGCAGTTGGACTAGATGATCTCCAAGGACCTTCAGTGATTCTGTAAGAGTCTCCTGCTCGAGTGGGTGCGGGGTGTGTGTTGGGCTAGATGACCTCCAAGATCCCTTCTGACTGAGTGATTCTGTAATTCTGTAAGGGTCTCCTGCTGGAGCACGGGGTTGGACTAGATGACCTCCAAGGCTCCCTTCTGATTCAGTGATTCTGTAAGGGTCTCCTGCTCGAGCAGGGGGTTGGACTAGATGACCTCCAGGGTCCCTTCAAGCCTGTCATTCTATGATGCTGTAAGGGTTTCTTGCTCGAGCAGGGGGTTGGACTAGATGACCTCCAAGGTCCCTTCCAATTGTGTGATTCGCTAAGGCTCTCCTGCTCGAGTGCATGCGTGTGTGTTTGTGTGTGTGTATGCGTATGTGTGTGTTGGACTAGATGACCTCCAAGGTCTCTTCTGATTCAGTGATTCTGTAAGGGTCTCCTGCTGGAGCAGGGGATTGGACTAGATGACCTCCAGGGTCCCTTCCAATTGTGTGATTCGGCAAGGGTCTCATGGTCGAGCGTGTGCTGTCCGTGTGTGTGTGTGTGTGTGTGTGTGTGTGTGTGTGTGTGTTGGACTAGATGACTTCGAAGGCCCCTTCTGACTCTGTGATTCTGTAAGAGTCCCCTACTTGAGTGTGGGGGGGTTGGACTAGATGACCTCCAAGGTCCCTTTTGACTCAGTGATTCTGTAAGGGTCTCCTGCTTCAGCGGGTGCGGGGAGGGGGTCGGACTAGATGACACTCTGGCTTTCTGTGATTCTGTAAGGGTCTTCTGCTCGAGCAGGGGGTTGGACTAGATGACCTCCAAGGTCCCTTCCAACTGTGTGATT